AAAAACACACAATGCTCAACAATTGAAACTTTTGAATTCCAGCTTTACCATCATTTAATTAGGCCCTAATGACTCTCAACACTTGTCATTGTATGCTTAATTGTAACCCACCCCCAGTGGTAGGGCAAGAAATATTGTTCACAGGAATCAATTTGTAACCATCATTTTTAAATCTATAAATCAAATTAATTTAAATAAAATATGTAGTTTATTGGGAAAAAAATAATAAGATCAAGAAATATTCATCATAAATAATAATAATAAATAAAATAAATAAATAGCTAATAATATTTTTCTAGTGGCATGAGCAAGGGTCCACATTTTTCTAGAAAAAATACATATAAAAAACCCCTAGATTTTTGTTAAGTCTTATTTTGACATAAATAATATAGTGATAATAAAAATTAGTTGAAGTAAATAAAGGTGGGTAAACACAGATCAGGTTTTGTGAGGTGAGAAGAAGAGTAAGTTTTAAATTTGGATTAAATATATGAAAGGAAAAACAACGCATTTATTTTTTTGTAAGATTGTTCTAAAATTTGAAATACGAAAAGAGACAAAAAAAAAATCAAAAATCAAAAACCTTAAAATAAAATTGCGAAGATAAAACTAAACAGAGATTGAGAAGGGAAAAAAAAAAGGACGGAGTTAAACTTTTTCAGAAAAATGTACAAAAATCACCCCATATTACTTGAGTTGAGGCATTCATCCTGATTTTAGTGGGATCAATTAACGAAATCATTATAAATTCCTTATCAATTAAATTTATTGATATGATATAAATATGGTTTTGATTTCAGATATAAATATAAATATACTAGAAACCTAATCCTTAACTACGTACCCATTGTTAGTATATGTCCAGTGTTGAGGATGGCCGGAGAAGTATCCATATCACGAATTCAATAAAATTAAGTTCAGTATTTCCTTCTTCTCTGTTGCCCATGTTTATCTTGTTTAAAAAAGTATTTAACGCATGCAAGTACTGTAATTAGTAGTTTCTATTAACATTGAAAATCCAAATCATATTAAATCTCGTTAGGTGCAGAGAAAAGAAATACCATCACTACAGCCTGCAACAACATGTATGTATCTTTCTAACAAGGCTCGAGAATGCTTGCATGCTCTTTCCTAGAAAGTTATATATATATATACTTAAAACAACATTAATTTTAATTTTTTTCAATAGATGGATTTAAATTTTTTTCATTTAAATAGATTAATCTTTTTAAAACTATTAATCAAATAATTTTATCAATTTCTCTATTAACAAATAAAGTGTTTGTTACCCTCAAAATACCAAATTTTGCTTCTTCTTTTTCCTTAATCAAGTACATAGATTTTAATTTTTTTCATTTGAGTTTACTGAATTTTTCCAAAATAGTCAATCAAATATTTTTGTCAAATGATAAAATGTTCGTTATCTCCAAAATATCAAATTAGAAATTTGTCCTCTTTTTATTGGAGGAAACTTTGCCTCCAAAATATTCTACTATTTCAAAATTTATAAAAAATTAAAAAATATATATTATTTTTAGTTATAAAACACCAAACTAACTTCAATTAGGTTTGCTATTAAAAAAAAAAATTAGTTAGGTTTAGGCTTGAAAAATACAAAAAAACCCAAATGTGAGATTTTTTTTTTTTTTTATCAATAAATTTTGTTGCTTGTGAGCATATGAGAGGAAAGTTTCCTCCAACAAAAAGGAGATAAAATATTAATTTGGTATTCTAGGAGTAATAAACACATCATTAATTAATAAAAAAATTGATGAAAATATTTGATTGACGGTTTTAAAAAAATCGATGTAATCAAAGGAAAAATTAAAATCCATTTACGCAATTGAGAAATAAAAGAGCAAAATTGTAATTTGGTATTTTAAGAGTAACGAGATATGACATCGACTAATGTAAAAATTGATAAAAGTACATGATTAATAGTTTTGAAAACGTTGATGTATTCAAATAAAAAAAATTAAAATTTACAGATTTGATTGAGAAAAAAATAAAAAATTGATATACTTATAGTACAATTGTCCATGTATATTTATATTTATATATAGATAAAAATAAATCTCAAAACTAGAAATCTTTCTAAAAGATGAGAAGAAATTCTTAATGATTATTATATTTGGAGTCAGATAGAAATTGCTAAGCTTGCTGTGAACGAAGAAGGGAGTATGAGTCGCCCCAATTAATAATTTCCTTTATATTCTAATTGTTGATGAAAAAAAATTAAATTATTGTTTTAGGATTACTATCTAATATGTGTTTTTTTTATCGGTCTAAGATCGCATATATATATACATACATGATTGTATCATGACACATGTCATTATAGTTTAATTAAAGACCACCCGAATAAGATTTTACTCCGATTAAAGTGTTCTCGACTAGCTGTCAATTACCACCATAGCCAAGCAAAGCTCATAAAATCAGCACAAATGGATTACTCGAGTAAAAAAGATGCATTTCTACTCATTTAGTAGACAAAAAATACATTTATTTAATAAAGACATGGCTTCCTAAGATATTTCTATCACATCATCACCAACTATGATTACACACGCACCATCGGATAATAACCATACTTAAAAAGAATCCAACCCTTCAAAATAGATGTTAGGAACTTTTAAGAACAAAGAAAGAGACCATTTTACTTTCCACTCCATGCAAATTGATTATGTTTTCTCTTCTATAGAGGCTAACAAGCAAAATGTTTTAGGTTCTAGCTTAATAGCTATTTTATCAATTATCACTATACATAAAAGCGAATCTCTTAATAACCTATTCAAGTAAATACTTTAATTTGTAAGCTAACTTAATCATCAAAAGGTCCTTTAACAATTAAATAGAGGATTTGTTTTATAAATATTTATCATTGAATCAACATCCATTGAGTTGGAACCACTATACAATTAATAAAGAATTGGAAGCCACATTTTCGACAATCATAATTTAAGGATCATTATCTTATCACTGGCATCGTCCGTAAGAACCAAGTAAAAAGTCAATCCCTAAATGTTTTATTTCTCTGTCATCACTTTTGATACATGAATGATAATTAAAAAAAACTTCAACTCACTCCACTCTTTTTTCATTTAACTAGTCCTAGCATTCTGCCAGTCAACCTTGTCCAATTGTAGCAACGCATGAAAATCTTAACAAAGACATACATAATGATGCAAGAACCGATAAGGTCTCTAACTACATCCTTATCAATGCCTCAAACATAGCAAGCGTCCCTCCATGCATCACCTCCAGAGACCTTTCAATAACCACGAGTTAGGCCACTTACGAAACCCTCTCACCAAAATAGACCAACCCAACAATCGACCAAAGAAGAAGCCGCCAGGCATAGTAAGAGCGGGGCCAGGAGAAGGGAATGTCTTTGTTTTAAAGAAGTTGCTCTCACTACTGCACCAAAGAGCCGACTAGCCATGGCTCTTGTAGAGATAGGAAGAGAGATGAAAGGATAGAATATCGCCACGTTGTCCAAAGTAGACACAACATAGCTAGAAACCAACCCAAAAAAGCAACACAAAAGCAGTTCTTCCTCTTTCAAAACCTCATCAGTAAGCCTAAACCTAAACACCAGCAGATGCTCACCTCCGGCGTTTAATAAAACCTACTAAAATAATAAAATTTACAACCGGAAGTGAAGTTGAAAACAATCAAGGGATGAAACTGCTATTACAATTGAAGCTACATTTTCAGCTTTTCAAATGACATAGGTTTAATTAAGAAAGAAAGAAAAAAAACTTAGTTTTTGAAGTGGGAACATATTTCGGTGAGAGGGACATCAGATAGAAGAAATTGCCCGCTGGGTTAAAATAAGGATTGAGTTGACAAAGACTATGGAGATGCCACATGGTTCATCCATTTCAAGTTGTGCCGAATGCTTGAGACAAAAAAAAGGAATATTTTTATCATAAACCATGGAAGGACGGCCGATATTAACAGACGCATGTGGATTATGAAGAACATTTGATTTCTACTGTTTTCTGCTAATTGTTGTTTTACCTTTTAGGAAAGTTCGACGGTGCAATGCAAGCTCCATCCTATGATATGCTTCTAGCGCACAACTACATTGATTTATAAAATCTTACAAGACAAATATTATTTCTAGATTCTTCTTTCCTGTCTCGTAATTAACTTCAATCGTTTGCTTCTTCTACGCAGATACCCTGTTACTCCTTCAACACAGTTAATATTATCTCTGCAGACTTTGCAATCTCAACCCAATGGGTGCATGTATTGCGCTTGCGGACGCCAAAATATAAGAGATTTAAATCATATATTATGCACAGATGTTTGAAATTAATCAAATTGTAATAACATATGCTTTTTTACTATTTATTTATGAAGAGATAATTGTTGTTCTTTAAATGTACATTGAGAAATAGCTCTTTCTTTCTGCATTGCTTAAGGTCTATTTGGTGGTGCTATATACTAACTTAATTTGCTGTGAAAAAATTATAATCCAAGTATCATAACACTAATCAACATAAATTAATAGTGCATTTCTTTATTTATCAAATTCTCTGTTCTTTTGTTTGTTGTCTTCTACTAAACCCTAAAACTTCCTATTCTTTTAGCTTTTGATAGAGTTTCTAGAAGTGTCTTTTAGTGCTGAATGTGTATGAAAATGTTGTTTGAAGCCAAAAATTTTATGTCAACGGGATTCTTGATACCGTTTGCTTCATGTATGAACAAAATTTGATGCGATTTGATCCTCAGCGAAAACCCCCGAATTTGATGCTGAATCAGTACTCTTCTTTTTGCCTAACGAATTACAAGACAAATTAATTGAGGAAACCATGCCCATGACAATAGGACGTAAGACAAGAAGCAACCATCCAAACCGCTCTAAAAAAGATCCAACCTCCTATAATTCCATACACAAGAGGGATGTGTATCAAGACAACTTCCATGCCAACCACTACATATAATCCCATGTCGATGGATGACCTTGCAAAAACATAGAGAAGGTCAAAGAAATGGATTTCTCTTGCAAAGACTTCAAGGTAGGAAAATGTGAGGGGCAAAAAGTGGTAGATGACGAGACCATGCCACTACTGCCGCAACCCCCAGAACCTAACAAGAGTGACAGAGACTCATTACTCTCAGCTCTAAAGCAGAACAAGGAATGGTTTGAGCAAATGATCACCAAAAACAGTGCTGTCCTGCTACGAGGTTTTGACATAAAAAATGCTGAGGATTTCAATGAAATCATTGAAAGTTTGAAACTTTCGGCTGGGATGATATCCGTTATGTAGGTCCTGCACCTAGGAAACATATATACAAAAGAGTATGGACTGCCAACGAGGGACCGTTATCAGAATTCATATACTACCACCATGAAATGGTTTTGGTAAGTGAAATTCACCATGCATATAATGTCAAGCCAAGGATTCAAGGAAATTAGGGCTTAATTTAACTGTGTTTTTATTTGAAAATAAAATAGATTAAGTAGTTTCCAAAGAAAGTGATACTTTTCTGTGAGATACCACCACCAGAAGGAGTTTCCAAGGAAATTATGTTGTCGTTTGCTCCCATGTATGACAAAGCTGTGGATTCCTTGATGCTGGAACATTGTTCTCTAGAGGAATTCACGACATTTATTGTCTGTTTCCTGAAACAAGACGAGAACTCCAAGAAACAGTATCTCGGGTTTGCAAACCAAATGAATCAGAGGAATTAAATAACTCATGTAGGACTAAACTAGAGCCGTAGGTTTTTCTGTTAATTCGCATCAAATAAGGTAGCTTTCACTTGCAAAACGACATGAAAGAATGTCCGATTCTGTTCTGAAACCGCCAACTTATCTGTGATTCCTTGCACAACATTTCGATTAATACAACTCCAGCGTGATGCTATATATACAACAGTCCCATTTTGAAGTGAAAATTAATTAAAGAGGAAGCAAATTAACAAAGAACAGTAGAAGAAGCAAAAAAAAAAAAAATGGAGATCTCGTACAAGGACTTCAAGGTAGGAAAATGTGAAGGCCAGAAAGTGGTGGATGGTGAAATCATGCCACTAGTGCTGCAACCCCCAGAACCCAACAAGAGTGAGACGCAGTCATTACTCTCAGCTCTAAACAAGAACAAGGACTGGTTTGAGCAAATGCTCATAAAAAACAGTGCCGTTCTGGTTCGAGGTTTTGATGTGAAGAATGCTGAGGACTTCAATGATATTATTGAGGCCTTTGATTGGGAAGACATTCGCTACGTAGGGCCTGCTCCCCGGACACACATATACAAACGTATATGGACTGCCAATGAGGGTCCCCTCTCGGAATTCATATACTACCACCATGAAATGGTTCTGGTAAGTTAAACATTGCCACGGTTCAGGAAAGGGTTTGGATAAGTTTAACAGTTTCTCCACTTCCAACCCAAACTCAGTTTAATCTCCTGACTCACCCAGTTTCTTTTGATTTTGTAAACACTGAACAGGGGAAGTCCAAGGTTGAAATTTTCCGTAACTATCTGTTTAAATTAAAATCATTGGACCATTGTGCTAAGTCTGCCATATTTACCATGTCTAACTTTGACAGATAAAAGAATGTCCAAAGAAAGTGGTGCTTTTCTGTGAAATACCCCCACCAGAAGGTGGACAGACACCCTTTGTTCCAAGCTTTAGAGTTACAGAAAGGATGCTAGAAGAGTTCCCAGAAGTAGTGGAAGAAGTTGAGGCAAAGGGACTGAAATACACTTTCACAGCTCTTAGCAAAGATGATACATCATCGATGAGAGGTAGAGGTTGGGAGGATGCTTTAGGAACATCAGACAAGGCTGAGGCTGAGAGAAGGTATGCACATTTATATAAGCTTAGTTATTTTCTTAACAAATTTCCAAATGATATACCGTTGTGTGCAATAGACTCGGAACACGATCATAAAAGATGTGTTGACAGGGCTAAGGCTCTAGGGATGGACACTGAGTGGCTGCCTAATGGAGGAGTGAAGACAATACTGGGTCCTCGATCACTGACGAAAGTGTTTGATGGAAGAAAAGGGAGGAGAATGTGGTTCAACACAGTTGTTGGCATGCATGGAAAGGAGTTCAGCTCGGCCTTGCTGGCAGATGGAACAGAAATACCTGAAAATTTTGTGAAAAGGTGTGAGCAAATCATTGAAGAAGAGAGCATCCAATTCAAGTGGGAAAAAGGTGATGTCCTTTTCCTTGATAACATGGCTTTGCTTCATGGAAGAAGGCCTTCTTTGCCTCCAAGAAAAGTTCTTGTTGCCACTTGCAAGTAGCTTCAGTTTGGCTGCTAGCTATAGCACTTCTGTTGTGTGCTAAACTACTACTGGTTTTGTTTCTGTTTATGGAATAACTGAAAGAGAAGGTACGTCCATATGATTCCTTCATTTATCTTTCGCCTTTGGCTAATGTAATTGGGAAATAAAATGTGTACATGGCTCTTTGGCTGTCCATAAGCCAACTTCAATGAAACAACAAAAGAGTTGAATAGAACATACAGCAAATTCTTGCTCGCTTACAAAGAAAATGGTATGGCACTAAAATTTTGTAATAGGCACAAGGGGAACAGAACTCGATGGTCGAATGTGTTTCTTTGTACGCACCCTATGACAGGATCTGCTTTGGGCTGGCTGCGCAATCCTCTGGCTTCTCATATGCCCTTGGCAGCATATGCAAGAAGTCGCTTCTGTAAACAAATGTAAAAATATAGCTTACAGTTGCTCTCCCTTGAAAAATGGAAATATCTGGGCCACAATCTTTTACTTGTTCTGTCAATCACAGAAACCCTTTTCACTCGTTATTTGCTTCTTTCCCCATTAAACATCCACTTCTCGCCAAATCTTTTGTTCATCACTATTGATCACAAAACAGACTAATCTATAGGCTAAACCCAAATGATAAACATGTAAGCGTTCATTTAAGACAAGAGAATAAAGGCATATTCAATTAACTCCATGAGATAACACAGGCATAATAAACAAGCAGAAGAAATCACCAGAATATAAACAAGAGATCCTTAAAATTAAATAATGCTGCTTCATTTGAGTCACTAAAGGACTGTTAGACAAAGGGAGCACCAATAGACAAGATGTAAAAACATCAAGCATGTCCTACCCTTTTATTCTCTAGACAATCAGAAAGGAAAACCACAAATAATGGAGCATAGCCCTAGATTAGTTTGTTGCTTCATGAGCACTGGGGCTCTATGCTTACCTCGCTATAACATTTCAAAATACCAAATACTACCTAAGAAGCACGATTAGGTGCGCCCCAGCCCCGGCCCCTCCCAACATAGCCATACCCATAACCCCTTCCATAATAAGATCCACGAGAACGACCACCACGTGGAGGACCACGACCACCTCGTCCTCCCCGATACCTTGAAAAGTCACCAAATGTCTGCATAATCAAACAAGCAAAAATTTCGAATAAGACTCCACAAGTTTTCACCAAGGGTCAGGAGCCAAGAACAATTTACCTCTGTGTCTAATTTCATCTGCTCTGAGAATCTAGTCCTTCCATTTTGCGATTGATCAAGCGCATTACATGAGATGGTATCAAAAAAGTCATCCTTGTTATAAACAGGCTGCAGGAACAAAGTATAATCAAGTGCGAGTAGAGTAATAACTTCGACAAAAGTCCTATTCAGCACAAAAACAAAACACAAGAATGCAGAATTATCTTAACCTCAACCTTAGCTGGTTCATCCTCATCTTCATCTTGAGAATCATCTTCACCGCTGACATTTCCATCTTCTCTATCCTTCAAATGAGATTTGTTATTCTTGCCAAGGTGACCCCAAACTTCATCCTTCTTGAACTTTTCATTCATTGCCATAAAATCAAAATCCTCAGTGAATTTTGTCACTGGTCGTGAACTCTGCACAAGAAATATTCAAATTCCATGTAGTCAAACTCTTGCTATATCTGATGACATCAACTATAAATACACTGAGAAGATAAAGCATTGTCCTCTCAAAAAGAGCATCTGCTGAACAATCATATAAAAAAGCTTATACCAATGACCGCAGGTAAGCTAGCTATTCAGGAATGAATGAAAATATAAATCAAGAATTACCCCAGATCCTCTTCCTCTTTCACGTCCACGGTAACCATGACGAGCATGAAAAGTAGCTCCATTTGGCTAGGAAAGAAAACAGAGGAGAAATGTTAACCCCCTAAATCAGGCAGTAAAGCTATTGCATCCAAAGGAAACCACATACTCCAAAAAAAAAAAAAAAAAAAAGAGCCAATATGTAATGATCAAGCATATAGTTAAGTCTCCATGGAAACTTGTGATTACTAAAATTCTAATGTAACAAGCCATACACCTAGCCTACTGAAAACCATTTGCAAGCTGCGAAGATAATAATGAATTCAACAAGATAAGGTGCTTTGGAGGGTTCTTTATAGCAAAGGGATGAATAAGAAAATTATTCTGCAGAACTCAATAACTCAACTTCCCAAAACTATGGGGTCCAATAAAAATTCCAGTAAGCATGTTAGGTTATAGCACTTTGAACTGTCGCAGCAAATCCTTCCTTATGATAAGTTGATCTCATTCAAGTATCCATACATAAATGCATTGACATCACCCTCCAAAACAACAAACATAACTAGAAACTTCAGAGTGGACTTGGTTACATACATGTATCCACTGTGGAGCTTATAAAGATAATTGGCATGCTGCACATGTATTATTGCAGTATAAGTTGTGTATGTATGTATGTATGGATGGATGGGTGGCACACCTTATGGCTAGCCCTTGAAGAAACAGGCAATGGGAGTATGGGCGGCTGAGCTTCTGTGGCAACTGGCGCTGATGGTTCTGGTGCTGGTGCTGGTGCTGCTAATGATGATACATTAACAACCTCCACATCTTTATCGGCTGTTTGCACAGGCTGAGGAGAAGGAACTATTGTTGATCCTGACTGCAATAGCTGGCCAGGGGTTACCAAAGAAGGAACTGGTGTTGATGTTTCTGTGCGAAGAGAACTGGATGCCAAAACACCAGAGGATGCAGACTGGGCCGTGCTTTGATAAGGCGTTGTTGGGCCAGAAATTGAACTAGGCTTGTTGGAGATTGGTGGTACAATGATGTTTAAATCTGGGCTGGAAGTTGTCAAAGGAGATAGCACTGGCAAACTAGCGCCTAAATTGGTTCCAGAAAGTGCAGAACTAGGAACTTTATTAGCCATCAAACTTGGTAATGTTTCAGAAGGCAGAGAGGCAGAGGGTATTAGGGTTACATTTGAAGGCAAAGTTGATGGCACTGAGGAATGGGGTGTGAAATTAAGGGAACTAGTGAAGCCAGTAAGTAGAGGAGGTAGAACATCTGGCAAGGAAGCTGGCAAGGTTGAAACCGGCAAGTTTAAAGGTGGCTGGGATGAAACTGGCAAGTTTGAAGTTGGCAAGTTTGGACCAGGTAAATTAGAGGCTCCAGTGGGTAAAGAAGGATTGAAATTGGGGTATTGCATTGGTTGCTGCATGGAAGGAGGCATTACCAGTCCAGGTGGCGGTCGAAGCAAAGATTGTTGGTGTAAATGCGGAAGCCCATTTGGGGGGCCGTAGTAACCTTGCCAATACATCGGCATAGCAAGGCCACTGCCATTTGCATTTGGAGGAGGAGGTGAAGCTCCCCACGTTCCTAAGCTCCCTCCGGGTTGATATAAAGGCAGCCCACCTTGGAAATTCGGCCCAGGTACCCCCCTGACCCATTGTGGGATCCAAGATCAGTCATAGACCCACTAACAACAGAAGGCAAGCTGGTGGAGGTGGCGACTGGGCGAGGATAGTGAGACTGCATAATAGGAATAGAGCTTTTCAAGAGAAAGGTAGACAGGATTGATGCATCACATAACTTAAAATCTCACTTCCATTTACCTGTATGATTGCTGGGTCATTGTTTATAGGTGGGGCAGACTGAACTGGTGGAGAAGACTTAACCTGTAAGTCCTGCAATGGAAGTACAAAAGAAACATCCAGGATTAAAAATGGCAAAATATCACTCAATACCATTTAAAGATGATGTGCTGTGGTGAAATTTTTTAACAGGATTACTCATCCAAGAGTACCTATTTGTCAGATCTTGACTAAACAGTAACTATTGATGAAGAATCAGTCTCAGTGGAACAGAATTGGACAACCAACTCGTAAGAAAATTAAGTTCCTCCAGACCTGAGCATCCTCCTTCAGTCCAATATCAATTCCTAACATTATACGTGAGAACTTGAAAATCCCACTCCAGCCCATCGAATATTACATATCCCTTGTGATCAAGACAAATTACTTAAGGTAGAAAAAGCAAGCACGTAGCTAGTGCCATCAGTTATTGGGCAAATGTGCAACAATACTTACCATTGAGAAACCAAACAGTTATTGAACACAAGCTTGAGTTTTTCATTACATGCAGGTACCACCAAAAAAACGAGCAGAGGTAACTGTTTGGTTTTAACAATCATCAAACGATTAATTTTTAACGGTCGTCAAACAATTAATCAAAGCATGATGATTAGGTGGGTTTTGCTGCCTCAATTTTAATTTACAAAGAGTATAACCAAAGATTTTTAGTGACAGCAACACAGCCACAAGCACAAAACAGTTTTGTTTCTCTCTCAAGCTTGATTGAAATTTTGTTAATAGCCACTCTCACAATATGCATATAACATTAAATACCTTGATGTCACTTCCACGGAACAATATGTATTCATAAACTTTATCACTGGGAGGGATTTGTGGACCATCTTTTTTCCGCCCTTCTGTACCAAACGACCGCACTGCCACATGAAAACAGAACAATTTACATCTACCACAACAAAGAAACTTCAAAATAACCATACATAAATGAAACAGAATGCAACATCAAAATGACCACCCAAAAATATATCTCTCTGCTAAACCTAAGAAAACAAAAACCAAGACACACTATTACCATGTGCAGTAACTATTGTGCACAAAAGCACTCTATAACCTAACATTTCACAGCATTGTATGTTACAAGCATAATAAATTTGCGCTTTAATGCATGATTCACACAAACCTGCATAAATTGACCCAAAAACCCATAAAATTGCAAGCTTCTCTTTCTTTTTTCTCGACCTCACAAAGACCCATCAAAGCTAATACAGGCTAGATAAATTTAACTTCCAGAATTACCGCTAGCAACATAGGATAAAATCAAACACAACATCAATAAGAACTCAATTTCTTTTGAGTTCAAGAAATAAGAAGAAAAAAAAAGAACCACTAGTCAAACAGTGAAACTAAGTCAAACCAGGTACCAAATCAGCAGAATATTCAAAACCCACATCAAAAACCTCAAAAAAAAAACCCCAAAAATCCTGCCGGACAGGATTAGAAAACGGTACCGTTTTTCAATCCAATACTGGACTCGTCAGTGTTGATATTGTAAAGAATACCCTCGTATCTGATTTCACTCTTTGACGTCAAACTAATCAAGCTCCCTATATACGAATCCGCCGTCGAACTCGATCTCGACGTTGAAGCCGTGTTGTTACTGTTCTCTGCTGCTGCCATAATCTAATCGATTCGATCTCTCTTTTTTGTTCCCACTTACAATTCCCACCTATATGTAGTCCCAAGCATGTATCTATCTATCTGAGGGTGGAGAGAGAGACCAGTGTTTTTAGGTTTTGATCCACAATCGGGCTCGAGAGAAACAAGATCTGATAATAATAAAATAATAATAATAAAATGTCTCTACAGTTTTGTTTTGTTCGGTTTTTGGTAATTTTGGTGGGGTTTTATGGGCTGCCAGTGAGAGAGAACCACGTAGGTAGGGTTTTGATTTGCTATGGTGTCCTGTTTTGGGTGGGATAGAGATTGGAATGGAAGCTGAGGAAGCTTTTGGGTCTTGAAAAGAGGCACCGCACAGCAGGTAGACTTTGTGTGTCTTGTTTTGTTAATATTTGTTTTTTTCTTTTTCCTTTCTTTTCTTTTGAATAAAGGTTATGAGTTCATTTTTGTCTTAATCGTCATGTACATAAACTTTTTTTTTTTTTGGAAAAATCATGTACCTAAAAACCTTAAAGATATTCTATTCTATTCATATATAAAATAGAAATTGAACTGGATACGGAGATATGTATACCCTCAACCCATCTGGGATGGCGGGTTTGCGATGGATAGAAGTTGCTTCTTTGACTCATCGGATGTCCTACAAATATCAAGGAATTATTTTGGTTTTTTTTATTTTTTCATTTCTCATGATCATACAATAAAATAGAAACTTTATAATTAAATTTAGGGTAAATTGTTGAATCTATTTCTATGTAATTGATCAAATCTCTAATTTATTTTTTTATATTTTTATTTATGTCTTTATATATTTGTTCCGTATCTAATTCTCAAATATATTTTTCTATCAAAGTTTTTCATACAAATAGACGTTATTATATTTTTTCATTTCGGTTTTTGTTACATTTAGATCATATACTCTTCAAAAAAAAAAATAATTGAAATCCTTTTCTTCTTCTTCTTCTTCTTTTTTTGCTTGATTAAGAATTTTTTTTTTTATATATATTTGTTACTTCATACCTTCTATTATAATATCACGAATTAGAAATTGACATGTGATATTGTGAAGTATGAAATCTCGAAAAATAGAGGTGGCATATCGATCATCGATTTGTGACATTATAACAAAGAGTCTAAAATAAAAAATATCGAAGAGCAAAAGGTCTCAGATCAAACCAAAATAAATAAATAAAGAATTTCAATAGAAAAATTCAAAGAATACGTGATCCAAATGTGAGAAAAATATTTTTTTCATTGTAAAAAAATATTTAAGCTATAGAAGAATATAATTTTGATTTAAAAAAAAAAGTTAAAATCTGTATTTTTAAAGATTTTAATGATTGAGTAATCTTGAAACATATTAAGCAATTTTGAGAAGATTTTTTATCATATTCTTCGATAAATCAAGGACAATTTGATAATGAAAAAGTATAATCTTGTCAATTTGAGTTAAACAACTTGACGGAATAACATGTTAAAAAATTTGATATTATCTAGTAATATAATATACACAATTATAAAAGTTTGGACATATTAAAAATGTGTTTAGTTATATAAGAACAAGCATTGAGTAAGTGTTACTTGAAAAAATATTTTTTTTCCTTATATATCAATCAAAGAAAGAATTCAAGCTCGCTTAATTGTATATAGGTGTGGTAATTTTTTTTTCTTTTTAATTTTCTATTTTTAGCAATTTTTTTATATTTTTTATTCTTTTTATTTTTTTTCACATAGCAAATTGATCTGTTGTGGCATGCTAATTAAAACATTGGCCGAAACTAATTGGAGTAGCCATATGAAAAAAAATTTAAGAGAAGAGATAGATAATGAATAAAGGACCACATTAAGAAAATCGGAAAAGTAAAGGAATGCTTTATGCTATTAACTCGATTTCTAAACGCTAAAACTCTTATCTATACCCAATCCCGATTTATTGCTATTCAAACTCGTTAAAAAATAAGTATAGATACATGTCATGGGTATATAAATAATCGATAAATAAATAAATAACAACTTCATTGAGACTACATGAGTCTAAACTAAATTTGCTACAAATAAGGAGAGGACTCTTCACATCACATGTGAGTTTTAAATTCTTTACACCATACCTATATCTCGTTGGAAAATGTTTAGATCCTTTACTCGCTCATAAAATCCTAGCTTTAATGTAAAATTATATTGTAAATACATTAACTTTTAACATTTCTTTTAATAGCATATGTAAATTTTAATATTTTTCATCTAAGTATATTAGATTTTTTAGAACTAGTAATAAATTATTTTTGTCAAAATTATATTAATTACTTTTTCATTGATGATGCATCATTTGTCCTATACTATTAGATTATAATTTTGTCCTTTCATTTTTAGGGAAAATTTCTCTCTAAAATTATGTTGTCATTTTCTACTTTTTTTATATAGTAAATACTCAAATTATCTTTATATTCAAAAGGGAAAAAATTGCAAAATAATTTAGGATGAAAAGTTTCCTCCAAAAAGAAAAGAGCAAATTCATAATTTAGTAATTCAAAAAAAGAGTACATCAAATAACGAATCAATTTACATTAATTGGATGAAAAATACTTTATTAGCTATTTTGAAAAAATTGATGTATTTAGACAAAAATAATTAAATTTTTTATACTCGATTAAGAAACTATCAAAAGTTCATGTACTTACCGAGTGCAATTACCCTTGTATTGTAATAAAGACGACGATCCCTCCGACTTGTCGCGGACTTGACCTTTCCTAAGCTCTCGTGTGACACTTGGCTCACTTCTCACTCAAGCCAAACCAAGTAAGCTTAACTCCCACTAAGTTGTAAAACAAGAAAGATAAATACAAGAGATAATAGACAAACTCTTTGTATTGCTTTCTTTAAAGTTTACAACTCTCGATTACACTTTCTTCAATTTCCTCTCTTAGATGGTTTGGTCAAATAAAAGTCTTGATCGTATAACCCTTCACCTCCTTGATGGATGATTGGGATCTATTCAATCTAATGGCTATAAATGATTCTTCGAATTATTCTATTCAAATATTTACAAAGAACTATCTAAATATGTACGGAATGGACTCTCTCTAAAATTCTCTAGGATATGTCTAGATTTTTCTTAGATAACCTAAAATCTACTTTAATGCTCTATGGTCTTCTAAAGACTTTCGAATCTATCTAACATTCTTACTTAACCTATAAAAATGTCTCTCTTCATGTGAGGCATAACATTCTCTCCCACCTAATTTGGCGACGTCTTCGGTGCACCTTTTATTGTACTCCTTGAATTTCTACACAAATTGCCATAAGGATTCTACGGGTTCCCAACTAGCTTTGCTCTCTATTAATCTTTTTTTATTTCACATAATACTCCTTCTTTGGTGGTACTCCATGATGTCAAACTATGTGATTATCAAGTATGACATCAATTTTTTTTCATACAAGTCAACCACTATTGTAGGTGCCATATGAGATACTCTTCGACTTGAATCCTCCTCATCCATATGATATAGCTTTATCATACTCACATGGAACACTAGTTGGATATTTAGCTTCGATGATAACTCTAGGTGATAGGACACATCTCTCACTTTAAGTATTACTTTAAATAATCGTTTATATCAATGTATAAGGCCTTTTTGCACTTTGCAAAAAAATTTGTATAATAATAACTTCATCGTTATTTTATCCCCTGGTTGGAAGGTGATGTCCTTTATTCTTTTATCAACCTATTTCTTCATCTTATTGGCGAGTTTTATTCTAATACATTCGCATCGAGTCCGCCTACTTTTGCCATCCCTTAGCTGATAAATATTTAGTCGAGCTACTTTATTAGTAATTGTCATCAAGTACCATCATTTATAGAGTGAGAGGTTACTGGTCTATTACAATCTTAAATGTACTATTTCCAATAGACTCACTTTTCCGTAAGTTATAAAAGAATTGGGCAACATATAATAACTTAGCCTAATCTTGGTGGTTGACACTCACGAAATGCCACAAATGTGTCTCCGGTAAAGCATTAGCTCTTTCGATCCGTCCATCCATTTAAGGATCGAAACTAATGAAATAATGCAATTTTGAGCCCAATAACTAAAATAGTTCAGTTCACGACTTTCTAGTGAATCGATGATCTCGATCACCGATTATATATCGTAAAACATCTCAATACTTCACCACATGTTTAAAGAGTAGCTAAGTAATGTTTTTTTCATCACATCTGCTAGTGGCTAATATGAAGGTGGTATATTTTAAGAATTTATCCATGATTATGATAATACTATCAAAGTTCTTTGACTTGGGTGAAACCACTTTGTAGTACTATGTTTATTATCTCTCGTGGTCTCTTCGCGATAAGCAAAGGCTATATTAGACCTCGGGTACTCGATTTTCAATTTTAACTCATTGGCATACCAAGCACGTCCACGTATAGGACTTTATATCGTCGCATAACTATAATCGAAATATGCTCCTTCCAATAAGGCTCTAGTGTGATGTTGTCCTAAATGTCCAACTCACATCGAGATACGACATTCCTTCATCGAGATATTGTTAGAGATTTTTTCAATTAGGCACATAGATCATCCTCTATTTTATGTAAAGAATGTCATGTTCCTCTTAAAATTTTTAAGTTTTTCTCTATCCAATAAAGGCTACTAAATTCTTATCGATGGGATCGTGCATTATTTTTCCTTTGATTATGGCTACGATCTCCTCATCCACCTTCTTTATATGATATAACTTAGCCTTTCTACTAAGTGCATCGGTTACCATATTGGTTTTGCATGGCTTTCTTAATTTCTCCAACTCGAGAGGACCATATGATAAGATTTTATGACTATCGACTCGAACACTCAATACCAACTCAATTTGGTGATTGATTTCCCTCTTAGACGATAAATTTTTAAATAACTCTAGTGGCATCACATTATCAAATTTGACCAATAAATTGGCTATATTTTTAGGCATCTTCATACCTTTATCATCCATCAGCCCATCTTACTTTC